AATATTTCTTTCCCAAAAGACCTTCAAAGAATAAGTGTAACAACTAGGATTTGAACCCTTGGACCCCAAACCAACTATTTTCATCCCAGCCATCCCCTGGATGAATTCACTTTTGCTGCTAGCTGGTGTCAAGGATTTTAGCCACATGTCTACAGTATGCAAGGCCAGAAATCAGCATTGTAGACCTTAGGGGGGGGGTGTAAGCTGACACCCATAGAGCAAATCAGATCTGAGTTCCCCCAGAAGTAACATGAATTAGGAGGATATTGTGGAGCAAGAACTTGCAAACATGCCCACTAAATAACCTGGGCTGCCATGGCAGGGGGTAGAAACACGCTCTCACCTTCTGGCTTCTGTTTTGTTGCCTCTTGGGTTGCTTTTAAAAAAAAAATCTCCTGCCAGTCTCTGGAGCCTTTGTCTTCACCCTCTGTCTGCGCTTTCCTCACTAGGCAGACCAGACATGATGTTGCTCAGTACTCTGTACTCCCAGAAGCCCCTGCCCCACACAGAGGTCACTCAGCTCAGTGGCTGGAGATAGATTTCATGAGCTCAAAAGGTAGCCTTTCCTTCTTGCCGGGTGTGTGAGCGTGTCTGTGCTCCAAGGTTCTCTTCTGTCAAAGGAGATATATCGGTTAGCATTCTTGTAGAGAACAGAATTCACCCTTGTCAATTTAAATGAAATGTGAGGTTGTAAGGTATTAAGTAACATAAAGTTTGAATTTCAAGGAGTAAGACTGCAATATAAGTTTTCCGAGGGGTCCCAGGCTACTTTTCGTCACCATGGGAACTGCTGGTTCCCCCATAGCCAGGAAGTTAGTTATCTGGTGACTGCAAAAGATGTGGGAACGAAAGGGTGACAAGGGTTGTCTGCTTTCTCTTTTCCAGTTAGTAAGATAAATGTCCCGTACTTGTCTCCAGATTCAAAAAGTCTGTGACTACTTTGCAACCATGTTGCTCTGTGATTATTTTTGTAAACAGTGAAAGCAAAGTACCATCTGCCTCAATTCCTCCTTCCAGGTCTTGTTGTAGTTTCATAGAGGGCAAATCTCAGTTTGATTCGCATCTTAGCTGCAAAGGAGTCTGGAAAACATCGTTTTGAAGTTTGTGGCCTCTGCTGAGCAGAAAGATCCTGGCTGAAATGAAGGAGGCTCGTAAGTGGCATCTATATTAGGCTAATCAATGTATCTGCCCTGAAGACTGACAAAAGACTTGCATTCGCTTATAGACATAAAGTTGTTACGGCTGTGCCAGGGGCCATGTGGAAGACAACAAATGTGGCTGTGACTCTGCCAGTTTGTCAGACCACGGTCCTTCGGAAAGACAAAAAGCCAGAGCTAGAGTCTTCAAAGTTCCCACCTGACAACACACAACTTTAACAAGCCTATTTATTGCACAAGAGTAGTGCTTTTTCCTTACAGCTACAGATAAGAATCATGCTCTTCCTTGCCAGTTTCTGCGCAGATTGTGCACAAAGGATGACTCCGAACTTACAATGAATGTGCTTTGGTGCTAAAGAGATGCGGGGTGAGCAGAAATCTGTGTTCAGAGTCCAGCCCCTCCCTCTGAGAACTGCAGACTGCCTCTGTCTGACTTCGGCCGCCACTTTGCTCTCTTCCGATGTCTACATTATCCACTAATATCAAAGACCTTCACGATAGCCCCAAGGGAAAAAACAAGGCTGCCTTGCTCCTATTTTGCCATCCCGGCCTCTTCAAAGGGGGACAGTGTAGGCCTTACCCAGCTCTTTGAAGCCCTTGTTCCTGAGACTCTCCAGAAACACCCTGTCGGTCCATGCTCTGCCATCTCTGCTACTGCAGGGCTAAGTAAAAGAGGTCCAACCTCAAGGACCAGACAGGTGGCTCTGGAGCAAAAGCTGCGAGGCATTTTCCTCAGGGAGAGAAATTCCGAAAGTTTAGCTCACTCTTTCCTGCCATAAAGCACGGTGACTGTTAACAGCTTGCCGCTGTCCAAGCTGGTGTTTTTTAAATTAAGTATTGTTAAATCCATACCGTTTGGACTGATGCTTCAGACAGGCCTGACACTCGCTCTTGCTGCTGCTTTCATTTCACCTAATATATTGTGCATGGAACCGGGAACCCGGCTGATGGCTGCCACAGCTTCTGGGGGCTGCTGTGCACAGACACTTGCAGACGGCTTTAATTTAGATACCTGAAGAGGGAAAAAAAGGAACGCGGCCAACGCCCTGCTCAGTGCCATAAGTGGCCCTTCCCCAGCTGCCGTGACTATGATCTGCACTGCCGAGGGTTTATGTTATTTTTCCCTTGGCCCTTAGACGCTCTTAGAAGTGACAAAGTTGGGAGACAGAAGCTGTAGACTAAAACAAGATACTTTCCACTGCCAGGTAACCTATATGCACAAGAAATTCTGGTCGTCTCCGTTTCAGCTCCTTCCCCATTTCCGGAAGCATTCCTGTCCACCACAGTTCCCTGCTCCCAGTGCCAACCTCGCAATCTGTTAGTGTGGAAATATGTAGATGTAAACGTATGTGTATAAGAGCGAGATGAGTGAATTTGAAGTTGAAGATCCTGTTTTGGGGGGCTAGCTCCAGCCTGTTGAGCCCTTCCCAGGTCGCCTCTCTGAGCCTCAACTTCATATGTATTCGACAGTAGCAGCTCTGTGACTACCCAGAAGTCTCCAAAATCACAAAAACTTTAGTAATTATCCGTTAACTCATTCTAAAAACTTTCCCCAATGTCTCAAAGCCAACTTGGTTTTGTTGTTCTTTTTTTCTCTAAGTGTGGTGTCTTCCTTGTACTCCATGAACAGGAGAGTGAGCAATTGCTTTCCCCCTTTTCTCTTGGTACTCCGCATAGGAAGGAAGGTGTTGCGAGTCTAGTGACCACACCTGAGACACTGGGGTGGGCATCCTCCACTGGTTTGACTCGTAATCGAGGTCTTGACTAAAATGTTGTGTTATTCTGGTGCTCATTGACGGGACCATCTTGCTGGACGCTGACATGACACCCAAACCCAGAAGACTATTTCCAGAAGAATCTGGACTAGTACAGAAGTGGTGTTTTCCCATCGTGCCAACGTTCTTGCCCTACAAATAGCATCCTGCTATTCCCAGTGTTGCAGAATTCCTTACTTCCGATAGCTTACAATGTTCCTTCCTCCATACCTGTTCTTCCTTCTAGTTTGACACTAAGAAGTGAGTTTTCATGACAAGAGGGAGGAAGTGGTGCTAAGTGAGGTGTTCCATTTTGTAGTGAACTCTTCAGCTGATGGCCCAGGGAGGAGAGAAAACCCTGTAACAGAATGCATAATTTCTCTCTCTCTCTCTCTCTCTCTCTCTCTCTCTCTCTCTCTCTCTGTGTGTGTGTGTGTGTGTGTGTGTGTGTGTGTGTCTATTTCTCTCTCTCTCATACACACACACACACAGGGAGGGATGGCAAGAGGGAGGGAAGGGGACAAAGGGAAGAAGGAAGAGAGAGAGAGAGAGACTAACAGACAGAGAACACATAGACTATGACTAAGGGTTTATTTCAGTCCATCAGCCCATCAACCTTTCTTTCATGTGATGAGGACTTCAGATAGTCATCTAACAGAGATGCATTTACTTGTGAGTACTGTTTAGCTTGTAGCATCCAGTACATTCTGGGCTTATAGATGTGTACTGTTAACTTTCCTAGTTTAGTACTTGAGGACCAAGGTAAGTCCTCATTTGCTCTAGACCAGTAATTCTCAACCTGTGGGCTGAGCCCTCCAGGAGTTGAATGACCCTTTCATGGGGGCCAAATACCAGATGCCCTGCATATCAAATATTTACATTACAACTCATAACAGTAGCCAAATTACAGTTACCGAGTTGCAGGGAAATAATTTAATGGTTGGGGTCACCACAGCACAAGGAACTGTGTTAAAGGGTCACAGCATTAGGAAGGTTGAGAATCACTACCCTAGACTTTCATGACAGGCTGAAAGTGGTTTTTTTTTTTCTTCAAACTCCTCTCTAATCGATACACCACATGGAAGGAGTAACCAAAGCTGAGCAACCTGCTTTTCTTCACCTCTCTGCAAAGCCTCCTTTGTATGAACATGGCAGGCCTGTGTTCACACGCCTATTACATAGTGAGGGGGTTTTTAGTCATGAAAGGGGGGAACATGCCTTCTAAGTGCCCTCTACCTCCAGTGCATATGTCTGGGCTGTCGGGCCTGCAAAGGAAACACCTCTCCTGTGCAAATGAGGGACGACATTTGCTTTTATTCTTTCCTAACCGAACGAGTTCCTGAGCGATAAGGAGGAAAGACGGGCTTGTTTGACACTTGGCACTATTCTAATACCGTAATAAAATCCTCCTGGCCCCCTCGGGCTTCCCTTGATGTGATGAGGGGGGCTCACAATCTTTCTGGCATTTTCCTTTGGCCTTGTGGTCACCCTGGAGCTCATTAGTACTTCCTAAAGCTGGATTGCACCTCAGAGGTCAACTGGTCCGACCCTCTTCCCACAGTGATGGAGAAAGAGACGGTACCCCACTCATCCTTTTCTTCTCATCCCTCTTTCCCCAGTGATGCGAAAGAAGCGGTACCACCCTCATCCTTGTCAGCATTGTAACAACTCTGAGAAAGCCTGAGTCAGGTGTCCAGTGAAGGCCTGGGGTTAGCCGAGGGTTAATTCGCCCTTTCTTTCCTGGCCTGGGCTAAATCAGATAGTTAGAAGTTGGCAAGGTGTCAAAACCCAGCAGTTGTTTCACCCCAAATTTGAGCATTTTGAAGTCTTTTTCAGGGGTTTCTTCTAAACTAGGGGCTTTCAATAAGTCTAATTGTACCTTTAAAACTCATAAATGGTGGATGTTTCAAATCATCACTCCACAAAGAAAGACTTTGCCAACTCTTTATGTTCAAACCAAGACCTTAAAACAGACAATAACCAGTGCTATTGTCGGGTCTGGTGTGGATCTTTCAAAACCATCTCTAGTATTCTTTTCCAAACTCAAAGGGGAAAATAAAAAGGCGCTTTATGGGAGAGGAGGAACATGCTCTCACCGAATACACTTAAAGGACACATTCAGTCCTGACTAGGGCTTGGTCCCTTTATAGCATATGTTCTACATTGACGGGGATTAAGTTTCTCTCCCGAATGGAACAATACACCGTCACAGGGAGCTACTGTACTTTCCAGAGCAACAGACACCAACCCAGGCAAATGGCAAACAGAATCGCGTCTCACACACAGAGCAACTACGCAGGTTGGTTCAGAGAGCAGCCCCGCTTACTCTTGGCGCCTTTGCTCTTCTGCCTCTGTGCCTCTCCCCAAGCTCAGCTGCTCTCTCCGCTGGCTTTCCGTCTTTTACCCGCTTTTCTGCTCACGCTGTTCACTTTCTCTTCCCCCCCCCCCCCACTCCCCACCAGCTTTGTTATTCAGCATGTCTGATTAGCAGGAGTCTGATTGGCTGGCTGCCTGCTCCAGAGAGATTCCATTCAGTTTACCCCCCCACCCATCCACCCACCCACCCTTGCTCAGGAAATGTGAGCGGGGCTGATGGAAGCTGATAGGCAGGGCTGGAGTGTGAGCTCCAGCCCTGGATGTGACAGCAGCCGGCAGAGGAGCACTTAGCAGCTTATCCAGTGTCCGATTTGGATTCCGGCAAAGGTCCAAGCATGGAATGCTGCCGTCGGGCAACTCCTGGCACACCGCTGCTCTTTCTGGCTTTCCTACTCCTGGTAAATGCCGTTTCATTTCAATATGTTACTTACTATTGCCACTTGGTCTGGGTGCTGCTGGAGAGTGTGTGTTTGTGTGTGTGTGTGTGTGTGTGTGTGTGTGTGTGTGTGTGTGTGTGTGGTTTGCAAACTGCAGGGTTTACAAAACCCAACAAACAAAATACAGCTTAACTCCTTTGAGAACTTGAACTCCAACTTTCCCTGAAAAATAAACCGTGAAGGTCTTTCTGAAATTAGTTACAGGTACATAGTGATACTGGTATGGAGATTTAAACTTTAGGATCTACTACTGCAGGGAGTATGTGCTGGGAACTGTATTATAGTTACGTGTGTGCATGGAATTTGGAAACAGGCGTCCTGAGATCAAACTCACTGTGGTGTTGGAGATTTTCTGAAGGACAGACAGTGAGGAGCTTGCCTGCTTCTTGTTCCCCCTGGGGTGCCTCATGCGAATTACTTTGCTCTATAGTAAGGGCTACTGAACCAGGTGAAGAAAAGAAATGAGAACACTGTTTACGGTCAACTAGGATTATAGCCCATAATTACTACACTCGTTTATGGATACAAGTTAATGCTGGTGTTTATGAATTGAAGGCTAAAGTCTTTGATCTCAGATCTACTTCGGAAGGCGATTAGGGATCAATGACTTCTTGGCCTGCTGATTTCCAGTCAATGATAAGGCTCTTCTCTTGAACATCAGCGCATACTGCATTTTTGACAAAAAGTAAATGTTCCTTTGTGACTCAGACTTGGTTCAATGGGCAGAAAATGAACATATACTGTCCAAAAAAATCTACACTCAAAATATTAATAGCAATGCACATTTCTTTCAAACCAGAGTGTTCTGGGCAGGCAGTTTAGCAAACCTCATCTGAAGGTTTGATTCCAGAATTCTTACAGACTGCTTCCAAGGAAATGTGAGTCTAGCTCTCCTTGTCACTACTATGGCATGCCAGAATGTCTTCAGAAGGGAGAAAAGCAGATAAAGAACAAGGTAAAATCGCAGTGGTTGTGCTGGACACATTGCTTTGTCGACAGAGAAGGAATATTGCATTCTGCTTTGATTCTGACAACTTGATCAATACTGGAATTTTGATGTAAGGGAAGCAAACCATTTAGGTACAAATTGGAAAATTCCAGGAAGGTCAATGCGATACAGTGACCAGATAGCAGTTAAATATTTCATACAGTGTTGTATCTTAATCAGTTGCATCCCAGTAGCTAAAAACTTGGATTACTGCTTTGTAATTAGAAATCGTTTCTATTTTCATGAACATTTGAACAAAAACTGAAGTGTAAGCGTGAGTAGAGGTGCTAGTTATGCCGAGGAATCGAACGAGCGGTGTGTGAGGTGGGCTTTATGGCTGAGCAGCGAGGAGTGTGGGAAAGGTGTCTCACTTTTTCCATATGGGATATGTGACTTGCAGACATCATGCATTTGTCTCATCTTTATTTCTTTGTGATTGTTTTTAAAGTGTATGCCATTCTCCCATTAGTTCGTATCATAAAGCAAATTACCAGTTCACATTCCCTGCTATTTCATTTTCATGTGGAAATACGATTTCATTATACTTAAGCAACGCTCTCTCATTCTGCAGCAGATTGATTTTCTATTTCATTTGGTAAATACATTACCCTGCTTGCCGATATCTTGAATATTCATATTGGAATCTCAGCAAGTAATTAGACTCACACTGAAAAAAAAGTGTTTGTTTATTTCAAAAGGATTTAACATGTTTGAATTACAATAATTATGGAATTAGAATGAAATCATACCCAGGTTTATATTATGCGTATGCTTAAGTGATTGTGAATTTGAAGCTTATGTTAGAAAAGAACTGGCTGCTGAGCACAGAGCAAAACCAGCATTAGTCATGCCTGCCGTGCAGGGTGTGTGTGAAGGTGTCAAACACTAGGTGACTTGTTTGAAAATCATTCTAGTGACTCCTCAGAATGGCCGTGTAAATCAGTTACTTTTAAAGCCCATTTTACAGATGAGAAATCAAGTTTATATGTGCTTTATACTGTGGCTATCAAATGCTTAGCAATTAAAGACATATTCTTCATCGGAGATATGTAGGCTTTATAGATCATAAAGGTCTTTAAAGATATACACCGTATGATGCACCGTCATTATACTTTGTCAGTAACTGCTTTGTTTGGCTTTGTAGTCAAAATGAATTATTGGCTTTAAAAAAAGCGAACTTTAGCCTGGCCTGTAGTTTACTTAGAACTGAAATATGGCATCATCAGCTCAACTTCCAGCATGATACAGAAATTGAATTGGAGGATTTGTTTTTTCTATAGTGTTTTGTGTATTACAAGAATCTGTCTAGTATTAGAGCTGACTACGCATATCCTGTCTGTATGGTGGCAAGCCCAGTTGTGGCCTGGTCCAAATCGCCTTCATTTCATTGGCAGCTAAATAATCTATATCAGAACTTGGTTCTTGAATGTGGAACAGATAAGGAAGGCTATAGAACCTTGCTGTTGTCAACAACCCTTTTCTCCTAGAACATTATTGCAGAGAGAATGAGGCCCCAGTGTGGTTTGTGTCTGTCTGAGTTTGCTGCCCATCTCTCAATGCACAGTAACCATGTCACTATAGACTTTGTTTTTGTTTTTTTTTTTTCACTTCACAGACTGTTCAAGAGGTTTCATTTTTGCTCTACCGGTCATACTGAGACACACTACCCATCTTCCCACTCTCCTTTCCTTTGTCTCAGTTGTTTAGATCACAAGAAATGTGGCAAGCGAAATCCATGGCCAGTCATTGACACTTGCGCCCATCCACTCTTGAAGTCAAAGCTCCCTGTCAGAGACACATTTAATCAAGCCTGCATTCGCTTTCTGTTTCTTTTAAGTAGCTATAAGGTCTCCCCCCCTCTCCGCTCCCCCCACTATTGTGAGAGTTGCAAGAGTAACACTTGGAATTATAATAAAGTACATGTGTTTTTCTGTTGGATTTCTTTCTTGTCTCTACACTAATTTATACATGGAAACTAGTCAAATACAATAGCCCATTCCTTTCGGCTCGTCTGGCATCCCCCTCCACTATTATCTAAGTGAATCTATCTTGGATGGTGAGAAGCACCATTAGCCTGTGGAATGAATGTTAAATCCCTTATTACAACAGATTGTGCTCTGCTCCAGAAGAGTGAGTGGGTGTGTGAGTGCACACACACGACATGCATATGCATATGCAAGTCCTTCTAAAGAATGTCTCACTCCCCATCTAGTTTTTATGCTCATATGTATACCATGGTTAAGTCAAGGCTGAGGATTTTTCTTCTAAGTCTATAGGACATAATGGCATTTATTATAAAATTATTTCTTAACGTTTTGTGAAGTTTCTGGTCTTCTTTGGGTTCCCATCTTTAGTGGTTCTGATGCTCAGGTCCTCAGCATCGTTTATCGTGAGAACCAATATACTTACATGTTAGTGGAGGGAAGAATGTCCAATAGTGGTCACTAGTGAACCATGCAAGAAACTTGTACTGGGGAAGTTTCTTTGGATAGTGAAGACTTGAGAGAAAGAGGGGTCACAAAAATGAGTAATGTCTGTCGCTTTATATGACAGTTAATCGTGTCGGTGTCTTCTATAAAAGAATGTGAAAAGCAGTCTTCTGAGCTAACTGTGGCCTGAGTTCTTTCTTACACTCTAGACTTCAAGTAAGGGTTTGTACAGCTTTATATCAATGTAAGATGCAAGTTTTCTGCATGTGCTACAGCATCTAGATGATGCTTTTGTACACAAGTGTGAATCCTGCTTATGGACCTGACTGCGAAAGCCAATAGGCTCTGTCCACTGCCGCCCCGACTCTCCCGGTTTCTGTCCTCTGACTTCATGCGCACAGTCCAGTCTCTCTGGTGAAATGACAGCCCTGCTTTTAATTTGTGTATCTCTCGGGTTCCAGGACTGACACTTTCTCGGGTTCAATCATTCAAGTCCCATCCTGCCCTTTCCTCAGCAAACGCACTCTGCAGTTTCTGAGGTCTCGTGAGTCGAGTGACCTTAGCGTGACCTTCTCTCGGGATGAGGACATGAGTGAGAGCGGCCCTTGAATCACCATGAATAACCCACTGGCTAAGTGTACAGAGATGACGCAGGAAGATGCCCGAGCGCGGCTTCGTTCTTGCCACTGTGACTCCTTTTCTTCAGAGAGCTGCCCCCGAGCTTTGTGTTCTAGTCAGAATGAGACGAATTTATGTCATTTTTCTGTCTCCATCATAAAACCCTACCATGTGGTTGAATTTTGGCTTGATTGGCAGTGCTGGCTCCTGAGCAGCTTAGGCCTGGCATACCGAGGTGATGTAAGCCTGAAAGGATTCTAATTGAAATAGGCCAGCACAGCTGTGTGGGGAGCGGGCCTGCTAACTGGGTAAGCTGTTGCTATCAACCCCTTCTTTCCATGAGCTCAAAAACAAATGACTAAATCTCCCCAGTTCCCGAACTTCAAGATTAAAACTTGCATCGCGGAATAAAGCTTGACTGTTCCGGCTTTCTCTCACTAGGACTTTGTTTGCTGCAGCACCCAGCATGGAAGGCAGTTAGTTTGTTGCAAGTTTTCTGGCCATGTCAAGAAGTTGCCTGGTGGCTAGCCTATAGCGAACAGTGACCACTGACCTTTCTTTCGTTTCTTCTAGGCACTCAGAAATTATAAATTGGGTTATCTGACTCCTATGTTCAGTAATATCCTCTATTTTTTGTCAAATAAACAGATATCTCAATAGCTAATTATAAACTTTCTTAGAAGCAATACCATAATTTCTGTGCTTGAATATCCCCGTCCCGTATTACGCTGATGCATAGCTGCATATATAGTCAGCTCCAAATTGTGTGTCAGAGGCTTTAAAATTATAATTCTCTGCTATGTCTAAAGCTGTTAAAGTGTAGCTTTGTAGTTCTTGTTTTGTTGTGCATCTGCTTCTGTCCTTGTCTTTCTTCTGTTTGACTTGGATTTATGTGTGTCCTACAAAGCTGTGAAGTGACAGCAGACTGGGCCATGAACTCCCTCTACTGCTATCAAGCCCTCTATAAATGTGTCTGAATGAGCAAGCATGTAGTAAGAATGACTCAGCAAGAAAGCTGCAGGTAGGGCGGAAGACCGTGAACACTCACTTTCATTGTGGAGCCTGGAAGCATCTTTCTGTTTTGAGTAAGCCCAAGTCAAAAGCACTTAATAAATTCAAAAGAGAAGACTTTTACTTTGTGTTTCTGTCTTAGCTGTGTACAGGCACCCAATGAAAAATAATGGAACAGTAATTCCTTTTGCTGTTGTCATTTAACATGAGTCACTTTGAATATTTCATATATTTTTTTTTATCCATCAAGGTCTCAAGTGCTTTTCCTTTAACAAACCTTGTCATAAGGAAAATGTAGTACTTATATTCACTACAGTTTCGTAAAGCAAAGTATTTATAGATTCCCACTTTAGTGGACCTAGTGTTATTAATTTACCTATTTTATTTTCACTACTCTGCACTGAGATAACCTGTATCTCTCAGTCTTCCCCATGTGCAGACCATGCTATTCAATTGAGTTCTGGTCATTATGGTTAACATGTCATAAGTAACTTTTGGGTCTGACCCGTCACACTTGATCCCCCAAGCATTCTCTACCTGTTTGCCCAATATGGAGGACCAAGCAGGGAAATGATAAATTCCCAAGATGGTCAGGCTACCAAGTATCAGGACTGGGTCCCCAGATGACTTAGTGGATTGTCACCCCCCCACACACACACACCACTCTTGGGAACCTTCACTGTGAATGTTCATTTAAATATAGGAAATAGCCTTTGTTATGTGAAAATCCTAAAATTTGTGGAAATGTGTTATATGTTCAAAACCTTTATAAATAACATATGCTTCAAATTTAGATTTTATGCATTCTAGTGCATGCTTATAAGCGCTAATACCTCTTTCCATTTATTATACAGAAAAAGAGAGCTAAGAAGATGCCACAGCATCTTAATGGTGGTCTAGTCTTTACAGTTTGTTATTTGCTGCATACTCCGAGTCTGCGGAGTAGCTGGGAGAGTGTCTGTGCTCTAGGTAACCAGGAGAAGTGGACCAGCTTTTCAACCAGAGACTCCATAGGGATGTGAAAGTTGGGTACAGGATGAAGAAAGCAACACGGGCTTGTAGTGAGTTCTCTGGGCTCACCTCTACAGGAGAGCACTAGACAAACTACAGCCAGAGAGCCACACAGAGCCAAGGCAAAGACAATGAAAAGGACAGTAAGGGGCCAGATCCAAGATGTAACGCTCGAGTTGCTCCAGTGGCAGAAGCTCAGGAATGAGAGAAAAGCAGACTCCCAAAGACAGAGAAATGCTCTCACCCAGCAGCGGGAAAAGCAAAACACACTTCCTGAGTTCACCTGAACTCAAGTTATCGTCACATATTTTTCTTTTTTCTTGCAGCAACCTACACCACTTTCCATCACTGTAGCAAAAGTCCTGGGAGCCACTAATAGTAAGAAGTTTCCTTAGTTCATAGTTCTGGAGCCTGAAAGTCCAACTGACACCGCACAGGCTCTCATGGGGGGGGGGGGGTTGTGTTACTTCATGACACAGACAACAGTGGCGAGGATGTGTGGAGAGAACAGTTTACCTCTCCAAGCAGATGCAAGAGTGGAGCCCGGCATCCATAGCCTCTCTTATCTACATACCCACAATGACCTTAAGGTCTCCCTCTAACCCCATCTTGTAAGGGTCTATGTCATTATTAACGCTTGCCATCTAAGGCCCAAGCTTCCAAGCACAAGGACCTTGAAGCTATTCAAACCACAAGCAAACTATAACAGAGCCAAGCGTCTATGGAAAAGCTCTGCTATCAGAAGGTAACAATGTGAATATTGGGCTGCAGTGCTGTTCCTGGCATCATCACCTAAGCCCATCACTGCAGACCTGGTCCTCTTCTCTCTGCACATTCATGTGTTGCTGTTGTACCTGGCTCTCTAGGGTGCTGAGACAGCAAAGCCACCATTACACACTTTAGTGGTTTTTGTAAACACGAAAGTGCTGTCATCCTTCAGGTGACTATGAACATTCAGACAAAAGACATTTGCCCATCATCATCTGCTCAATGCAAAGAAAACCTGCGCCAATAGCAAAAGGTGAAGGCTGGAAGACAGAGTAAGACATATTGCCAATAATAAAGAGCTCAGAAGTCTGCTTTGCATTTTATTTGTTTATATTTATTTAGTTATAATACTTAGAATATTAATTTTGCTTTTTAAAAACAATGTTTCCGTAGACAATATTTCTGTAACGAACATAATCATTTTCAGCTGTTCTCCAAATTGGTTCATTTGCAAATACCTATTTAGATGCTATCTATTGAACCCTTATATCTATGTGTGAATGAATAAATTACAGCTCCCCTCAGTCTGTGAACATGTTACTTTTATGAATGATATAAATCACTATTTGTCTCCAAATATTAATGGTTTTTAAATTTATTGCAGTTAAAATTAGAACAATTTGTATAAGAAAACACACTTTAATGCTTTTGTAGTTAAGATTAATTCTTTAAGGTAAATCTTATTTCAAAGCAAATCTTCCACCAGGTTCCTTGTGATTGCCCAATTAGGAAACTGAGGAAGGAGGATGACATACCAAGACCTTGTCTCAAAACAAGCAAAGAGACCAAAGTTCTTACTGTAAGAATGAACAGTATATATGAATAGTCTATGGGAAGTTATCATCTGCCCCGCTGTCATTGGGGGCATCACGCTGCCAGGTTAGTCTTCCTTTTTCAATATATTATACTAACAAGGCGATATGTAAATATCCATGCAAAACCAAACACACTCCATTTGAAATTAAAATTCCGGACATTCTATGGTAGGTGGTGCCTCCCGTAGTCATTAGAGCTTCACCCATTGTCTTCTTAAAATAATTTAATCATAATAAGACCAAAATGATCTTGTGTATCAAAGGGAGATGGCTGGAAGAAGTGGATCAACAGAAAATGTTTTGTCTAAGGCATATGCCATTTCTAATATGGATTTATTTTATGTCTGAAGCGAGAAATCGTAGGGCTCTAATAGTTTTGCCACCTGTGAATTATTTGGGTGCACCTCATAAGTGGGTTCTTTCTTCTATTTGTTTAAAGAAATGAGTGATATGCTTGCCAATTCAACACTACATTAATTTTCACGGAGTTTCCATTTTCATCTTCATTGCTTTTTCAGATTTTTTTCCAAAGCTTCTGCCATCCTTCTACCGAGGCTCTGGGTATTTTTCCCTCCATTTTTCCTCCCCTGAGGGACTTTCTTTAAGTTATTTTGGTCTGTTGGTATAAATATTGGGACAAAGGAGTATGATAACCCAAGATATCCTGACTTAAATTCCAAGAGCATGAAAGAAATGAGACAGGAAATTGTCAGCAACCTATAATAAATTCAAACTGCCCAATAAAATAAATGCACCTCATTTTATTCTCATAGGATAAAGTTGGGTATCTGATTTCTCAACCCATCTTGCAGACTATCGTCTCCGCCGCCATTTGAAGCCTTTACGTGTATTGTTTAGATACTGTACTTCATCAGCAGAACCAGAACTGAAAAGCGTAATGGAAACAATAGGAATACCTATTGTTCGGGTGCAATGGTGAGATTTGGAAGAGAACTTGGAAGAAATTTCCGGCTCTTTCCTTAAAGTTGTTGAGTCGTTAGGGCCATTGGCCATTGAGACCTTGCTTTGGGGCTTTTATCTCGTCTGAGATAACAAGCAAGGCTTGGATTTACTGTTGCAGAAGCAGCTTGAAAGGATTTAGACTGCCAGATCTTACACTCGTGTTTTAGAATTTAAAGAGTCATTGAGGTGTAAAAATGTGGCCTCCAATGATGGCAACCTCTTTGAAAGTAGGAATTTGGTATCATGTGTTTTTTCCAATACCTCTTCCGTGGCAGCAGAGTTTGATTTAAATGAGGTACTTAGGGTAAATTTTCTGTATGAGTAAATGAATCAATCGCCCATCATTGCACTTCTGTTTTACACATAATTAAACTTTAAATGCAAAGCATTGGCTGAGAAAGTCCTATCTGTCAGTAACATCTCTTAGGTAGGATCAGTCAAAGGATCCAGATTCCCTTCCTTTAGGTCAGTCTTTCCACTGAATTATTTCTAGAATTCAGGAGCTGTCCTGGGTTGGAAGATTAAAATAATTGTGACCTGGTAGCCAGCGAGACTTCTGGGCAACTATCCTGAGTTAGAACTCAAGACTTATTGTGGGTTTATAAACTTCCAGGTGACAAGCTGTATCACGGTAGTAAAGCCTTGCTTCTAAATCAACAAAAAATGTGAATCGTTTGCTGACCTGTATATGAAAGTTACTTTCTACGGGTCTTGTATATAATAGGTTTCCAAGAGTTGGCTGCCTCCCTTGAATCAATGTGAAATTGTATAATTCCAGGGTCAGCTGCATCTCAGAAGTATGTTTTAGTGCTGGGTAGATTGTGTTAAACAAAGCAGACATGGTGTAAAAAGTGGGTCTTTCTACGTGTAATATCAGAAAGGAATTGGGGCAGGGGCAGGCAAGACAGCAATTAACGGGCCGGAGCTTTCCATTGGTTTTATGTTGCTGTCATGATATTATTTTCTTTGAACTGTATATTTAACTATTGCTGATGTAAGGGTGTCTCTGCCTAAAGAAATAGACATATTAATTCATTATTTATAGTGATTCAAGAAAGAATGTGTTAGAAAAACTCTAAGTCTCTAAAGATTTATATTTAAGGTCATTTTCTGAGTTATGTCTTTTCCCCCCTGAAGTCCTTTCTTTCTTTTTTTTTAAATAGCCATACTGAAACCCAAGCTTAATGAGTGTATCATGCTATCCCTGTGTTTATTTGATACATAAACACCTGTCTTTTCCATCTTAGGGCCATGCTAAAGAAATGAAACCTTTAACCTAGTCCCCCCTTCAAGCCAGCAGCAGGCTAGTCAGCAGAATATAGGATGTGTAGCATGTTACTAGCTGTGGTCTTCACTCAAGAGGCTTGCTAACTCCAGGTGGGTGAGGCTAAGACAATGTTGGCTCCATGGGCTGCAGAATCCTTTCTGCCATCCTGGAGATTCCTCCCAGGGGTTTGCATATGCAGGGTAGGCACCTTAGCAAGAAACTATATCCCCAGCCAGACTACATAATCGTATAAAACACACAGTATTCTGTGCCTCTAACAATGATAAAGAACAGATTCCCAAAGTTTTGCATTTTATAGACCCCTAAAATTTCAAAAACAATTAAGGGATAGTTCAGGTAGGTAGGAGCTATAGAAAATAGACACAGTATTTCTGATTTTTTGCTACCTAAGAATATTAATAAAATAAATTACATGAACTAGTCATAGCTTGATTTGTTAGATAACCTGGGGTTAATACCAGAGAGCATGGTGGCATCGATGTAAGAACACTGCATATGTATTAATCTACCTTCTCCTCATAACAGCCTGGGACCTGGGGAGGCGGTCGGCCTGGCAATGTCGGGTAGGAGCAAGGGTCAGTTCTAAAGTGCATGGAATTCACTCTTCTCCCAATTCCACCAATTCATTTGTTTCACTCACAAAAGTTGAACATCACTTGAAACACCAAAAGTTCCAGGTGTAACTTTTCAAAAGAAAATAATAATAACATATGCAGGGCAGAAAAATATAACACACGGTTCTTGGCAAAATAACTTGGGTTCTTACTGTTTTCTCATTATTCAGTGTATCAGTGAAAATTTTACAGTGGATTGGCTTGCTCCTGCCAGTCCCTTTCCCTGGGTCAAAAGGAGGAAGAACAGAAAGGCTGCTGCCATTTCCTAGGGGAGGGGCCCAGGCTCTCTCCTTGATAAACAGCCTCTCTGTGGAAGGCAGGCCAAAGAGAAAGAGAAGTGGGGCACGCCCAGTAGAGAGCCTAAGAAGACAAGATGATGACTTCGGGAGACTGTGAGCCAATCCTGGCAGTCTCCAGGCACAGCCAGGCAATACTGTGCCTTCCAGGCCATGAGCAGGGGCAAGGAATACCGTTTTTGTTTTAGATAAACATTGTGGTCACCACATAGAGCGAAGATGACAGAGAGGAAGAGTCCAGAAGTTTCTAGTTACTGTCCCTCTCCTGATGGGGCACCAGGAAACCAACAGGAAAAAAAGCAGCAGTAACAAAGCAAAGTGCCCTGCTAGAAGGCTGCTGATCCATGGGGGGAAACCTACCTGTGGGCTCCCTCATCTTGAAACCCAGTGGTGACTAGCGCTCCTATTAGGTACTAGGGTTCAGGTCCCCACTATTTAGTTAAGAATCAGAGTTTTTAATTCTTTTACGATATGAATGTATTTGTATTTCTATGATACCTTTCATAATTTTTAAAAGATAGTCCTGTACTTAAGGTCACAGTTTTTAATGAGGAGACCTTGAGTAAAATTATCTGCTCTTGTACCACCTCCCATCTAGCAAGCATTTCCTGGTAAACCTGACAAAATGGGCTGATATCATGACATCATTTTTTGTACCTTCTCCTGATGAATGGAGTCTAACGCTACAGTGCCTCTTCATGCTGTGTCATTAACTTGCCTATTCTCTCACCCAAAGAGTCTACTGAACTCTTCAGGTTCATGTCGCGGTCATAAATCTTTCCAGGATATCAGCAAGTGTCTTTGCCCTCATTCTCAACATCCCCACACTGTCTAATCTGGCTTCCACATGTGGGGTTCCCTTTGCAGAGAGCTGGATCTCCGTAAAACTAGGGTACCCAGTGTCTACACTTACACTATCTGCTCTGATGGTACCCGCTGTGGTCATTAGAGAAAAAACCACTTTAGGTACAAAATTATGAATTTAGAGATTTTATAAATTTGCAATTTAACTGGAAAAAAAAGTCCTGATTTAGATAGAAAACT